GAGAGAGAGAGAGAGAGAGAGAGAGAGAGAGAGAGAGAGAGGGAGAGGGAGAGGGAGAGAGAGAAATATTGAAAAAAAGTTTGGTTACGTGTCATGTGTACATGTTTGGTTTTACGTTAACCATGCCTGCCAAACTGTCTGTTTGTCTGCCAGTATATACTATTATGATAGTAGTATCATATTGTAATACGTTAACGTTTCCATCGGCTGAGCAGGATGTGGTATGATTACATCTTTTTGTTGCGAAATCTTGGAACTGCGCCTTCCTATGCACGCAATATAATATTTAAAACCTGGAGAAGGGTTATTGCTCATTTCTTTTAATATCGATCTCATTTGTAAATATTTTATAGGATTCAAATGTATTTGCGCGATTTGCAAGTAACGATGGCGGACCTTGTTCCCGTAAAAATGTAGTTTCCAGGTCGATATTTGAAATTACTGTTTAAAAGTTGATTTCACTAACGATCGATTTTTACTGATCATCAAATAAGTAAAAGTTTACAGTCAAATCCATCCATAATACGGAGTTGCTTTTTATGTTACGTTGAAGAGTTTCATATAGTGCAGTTTTCAAATGAACATGTATGCTTGCGTGCGTGCGTGTACGTACATGCGAGGGGGATTTCCTTCGGTAACGTCGTTATTATAGGTTGGTTATATGAGTTTACCATCATTCTATATTCTCCTCAATGCGCTCTTCCGTTGTTATCTTCTTGTTACAATCATCGAAAGAAAACGGTAGTTAATAATCGGATCATTCGGAATTGATCTGCAATTATAGTATATATATTTATGGCGTGTGCACTTGTACTATTAGAGAGTTACGAGTCCAAAGCAAATAAGAGTTGCATCTGTGTGTGCATGAGATACTTAACGACTAAATCGAGGACTCGCGGAAACTGCTACTTAATGACGTTAATCGCGCGCGACTTCTACATAGAAAATTTTTTCTCCGTGTGCGCATTATTCATTAACAGGAAGATAGCGCTATTGCGTTTATTACGTCAAGCGATAATGCGTGTATATTGCATAAAAAATATTTGTACAATACCAGTAATCTTTTTTTTGCACTGTTTTTCACTACGAGATTACGTCTAGAAAAAGAAAACATATGTTTATGCCTACATATGAAAGTGCAGTGTATATTCGCGCGTATATAGAAAAAAATTTGCTGCCTGCCTGCCCGACAGATTTACAGATTGATCGACCGACCGACCGACCGACCGACCGACTGATCAATCGACCGAATAAATGACTAAAGGAACGAATGGATGAATGAATGTGCCGGCCTAATATTCACGCTGTCACTCAGAGTACTTTTTATATTAATGTGTCGATATCCTTATCCGCACTCACTCCTTTCCAGAACCTCGTTAAAATATATTTACCAACACTAACTCCGTAGTTTTCAGCTTCACCGACATCCAACACTTCCACCGTCGCAAAATTTTGCTTTGTAAGACGTGTTCTTAATAAAAAAGAAACAATATACAAAGAGAGTATTTTATCGAAGATAATTTGACATTTTGTGCAAGTGCGTTCTTTATTCATATTCAAGATATGCTTAATGTGGTGATAACAGACACAATTATAGCGAAGTCCTGTTCTGTTGGAATGTAATAATTTTTGACAATAATGGGCGTGTTCAGCGGAAAAAGCGCTCAGTGAGCAATCAGCGATTATTGGTTCTTACTGTTAGATCCCTAAATCTAGACTAATTACATTGACGAATTGCTCAACTGTTATGCAATTGTTGAGTTCGCTGAATGCACCCATTATCTTGCGAGATTTCAGTATACTTGACAAATTACGAGTAACATTTAAAATTTGAATAGAAAGAGGGCTCTTGTGCATAAAGTTAAATTTGGAAAATTTCGAAACACCTGACATATATGCGGTGGTGTGTATAAATTAAGGCTGGGTTTCGAAATTCACTGCCAATACTGAAAATCTATAGTTCATGTCACGTATACTATAGAACTTCAGTACTGGCAGTGAATTTCGGAACGCAGCCTAAATCATTTTTTGGTTGCGTTCTAGGTTGTATTACAAAACGTTCTTTTTAAGGAAAATTTTACTCAATAGTTTACCCTATAGTTCACGTTACATATACTATAGAGTATCGAGTAAAATTTCCTCAAAAAGGACGTTTTGGAACGCAACTCTAATATATTTATTCGTGAAAATTTGTAGTTCATGGATGCTTTTCAGCTACGTACACAAAACCAGTTTATTGGTTGCATATTATCTTACAAGATATTTTAGATAATATGTGACCAATAAATTAGTTTTGTGTAAGGCCTGTTCTTTGTAGCTGCACTGCTGAACTGATGCAATATATTGAAGTGAGACAAATATACGTTTTCTCACTCTAACTTATTGCACTAGTTCAGCAGTGCAGCTACAAAGAACAGGCCTATAAACTTGGTTTACATCGTGCACTTGATACGCGTACTAAATAGTAACTTTCTATTAGATAATCTTAATATTGACAATGCATATCAACGGCGACGCGTTTAATCAATACAATACGTTTTGTTGATGAGTATTATACCAGCTTAATATATTTGTTTGTATATATCGTTGATATTAAGATTATCTAATAAAAAGTTACTATTTAGTACTCGTATCAAATGCACGATGTAAGCCAGGGCAATGACATATATACATGAGGTTTGTTCGAGTTGCTTACTATTCACACTTTTACACCTAATGCCCGTTGCACACTAGTGCACTTCATACAATACAAATTTTCCAAAATACGTTCTGAAGACGTTTTTAGGACAGAGAGATGTCATCAGAATATTTTTAGGATGTCCTTTGAATATGTGAGCTGTCTGAAAATAACTAATATCCAATAAGTTTATTCGCATTAATTGAACTTTTTGCACTTTCACACTTAGTGCACATTAATTCTTTAGAGGTTCTAAAAATGGGGAGCGGTGCACTTGGACACGGTGCATTTGGACACAGCCAATCATAGCACCGTGTGATTAGAGACATTTGTAGGGTCCCTTGGAACAGCGACTTGTGATTGGACTGTGTCCAATTGCCCCGTGTCCAACTGATATACACCCCTAAAAATGACATCATGAGTTCCGTTCGTGTTACAAGTGTAATTGCAATTTTGATACAGTTTTTACACTTGATCTCAAGCAAGAGTGAAAAGTGTATCAGAATTGCATTTACACTCGTAACACGAACGGAAAACATGACGCCATTTTTAGAACCTCTAAAGAATTAATGTGCATTAAGTGTGAAAGTGTAAAAAATTCAATTAATGTGAATAAACTTATTGGATATTAGCTATTTTCAAACAATTCACACTTTCAAAGGACGTCCTAAGAATATTCTGATGACGTCCCTCCGTCCTGAAAACGTCTTCAGAATGTATTTTTGAAAATTTGTGTTGTTTGGAGTGCACTAGTGTGCAACGGGCATTAGGTGTAAAAGTGTGAAAAATACAAGCAACTCGAACAAACCTATAGACCAATCATTCCTATACTGCTGTAGCAGCGAGTAAAGCAGGAAGTTGGCAGTTTAAAACAGAGTGAGAAAGTTGATTTGCCCCTAGTGCTTTCTTATTCTATCGTATAGAAAGAATATGGCCGCTATCAAACTCTTAAGTGCTATATATAATGCAGTGCAGAATTAAAAGAATAAAACCATATCTTTCACTTATCTTGATATAAAATTAATATTTATAACATTTTATGTTATGTATAAATAATCACAGTAATTGCTCTTATCCTGTTCTCATTCGACTGTCACATGAAAAAGATTAGGGAGTCGATTCTGTATCTCGAAACGAAGTGAAAATTAAGCAAATATACTAGTAAGCAATATAAAAGTAAGCAAATATACTAGAATATTCGTAATTTCATTGGTCAGTGCCTAGTGAATGTGCTCACTTTTGTAATTTTCACTTCCTTTCGAGATACAGAATTGACTCTTAGGTTGCTATGACGTGATATAGTTCTTGGAAAAGGTTTAGTCCCGATCCACAATAGGTGTAGTAAGCCTTAAGAAATTGGCCAATCACAGTCAAATTTGAGGAGAATAATTGACTGTTATTGGTCAATTTTTTAAGGCTTAAAGCTTACTGCATCTATTGGCCTGGTTTACATCGTGCACTTGATACGCGTACTAAATACTAACTTTCTATTAGATAATCTTAATATCGACAATGCATATCAACGGCAACGCATTTAATCAATACAATACGTTTTGTTGATGAGTATTATACCAGCTTAATATACCGTTGTTTATATATATCGTCGATATTAAGATTATCTAATAGAAAGTTACTATTTAGTACGCGTATCAAGTGCATGTAAACCAGGCCATTGTGGCTCGGAACTAATGGCTCTCACAGACCAGTAGCCCTATTCGGTAACTCATTATTGGAGTTAACGACAGTTTCGTTATCGTTGCGCAACTTTTGTATACCATAGAAAAGCTGCGCAATGATAACGAAACTATCGTTAACTCCAATAACGAGTTAAGGGACGTCTACATTGCAAGTAAGTAGTAAGAAGTAGGAAGTAAGAGTAAGAAATTGACCAACCACAGTCGAATATGAGAAGAATAATCAACTATAATTGGTCAATTTCTTATTCTTACTTTCTACTTCTTACTACTTACTTCCAATGTAGACGTCCCTTTACAGAATCCCAGCACAGGGGCCCTGATTCTCGAAAATATATCGCATACGACATTTAGTGAAAAGCTATAGTTCATGTTAGGCTACGTTCAGATTCCCCACCCGGGCGTATTCTATTACTAGAAGTGCTATAGTATATGTCACATATACTATAGTGTTTCTAGTAATAGAGTGCACCCGGATGAGGAATCTGAACGCACCCTTACGTATAGCTCTTCACTAAATGTCGTATGCGAAATATTTTCGAGAATCAAGGCCCTGGGCCTCTATTCTTTAAATAGTTGCGTATTCGTAAGTTTTACTGCGCAGGTTTAATCATATCATAAAATAGCTGCGTAATGAAAATTACGTATACGCAAAAATTTCAAGAATAGGGGCCCTGATCTGCGAGAGCCATAACACGGAACGCGGCCTATATCTCTTTTGTTGCTGCGGCGCGCACGCGTGAAAAGGATACTTATGTAGCAACAAGTCACGGAACGTAACAATGGAAACTTTTGTAATCGTTCGATCATTTTCTGCTTAATATTAGGTTTCATAATTATTTTTTTTATTCGCTTTTTTTGTGTGAACGGTTTTTTATTCGTTATTACATATTTGTTAGATGCACAAGTCGACAGTTAAATCGTTATTATATAATTAAGGATGAAAAACGATAAAGTCAAGAATTCCAGGTAATCAAAGGTTATTTGGTATTTTAAAACGAGGTTATGTAATTTGATACAATCACTCTCTTTGTTGATTGCAAAATTATACAATTATTTACATCTTATAATATTTTGTATCAGATGTTCGTAACATAATTTTCTCCTTTCAGAGCATGTTTAGAACATTTCAGCGACGAAGGTGGATATTTTGATGTTGTTGTACGACCGATGTTACAACAAGGACACGAAGGGGAATTATGTAGCTGGTTGAAAGAAATGAGCCTAATTCGTACAGTTTCCAGTTGTCCTCATTTGGATTGTAAAGGACGAAGCTTAGCGTGGAATCCTGCAAGAATTGTAGACAAATATAGTTGGTCTTGTCCTAACTGTCTGAGGAAACAATCCATAAGGGACAACTCCTTTTTTTTGGGGATAAAATGTGATTTGAAAATGTGCCTTCAACTGATACTGGGATGGTGTCAAAGAGTTCCTTGTGAAATTATTGCTTCTTATTTAGGTTTCTGTTTGTCTAAATACTTTACAATGCTAGAGTATTGTATCTATGACAACTTAAACTCTTGAAAATTTATATTGTGCTAAGATATGTTCTATAAATAGAAATGGAAAATAAAAAAAGTGTATATATATATATATATATATATATTCTATATATATATATATATATATATATATATATATATATATATATATATATATATATTCTATATATATATATATATATAGAAAGAAAAAGAGGCAATGTCCTCATATTTAGTTTTTGGTTGTAAAGCTTGTGGAATTTGTAAACTCTTTACTTTTAATGAGATAACATGTGTTCACTACCAAGTAACCGATTAATTTCAGTGATTAGAGAATTAGGTCTGATTTGTGTAGATGATTTATAGTTTTCTATCCTTGTACAAATTATAAAGTGGAAAAAACATGTATTGTCTCACTTTTCCTTTTCAGACATGTAAAATTTATGTAAAAATATATTGTTATATTATTACAGATGTCAAAAAACACGTAGTCAGAAAGATATATGAGCGGTGCGACGAAGTTTCTGCAATCTATGTGGAGAAGCATCCAGAGGATTGGTTACTAGGTGGCGAAAGTGCAATATTGATTGTGGATGAATTTCCCAGTGGTTATATGACAGAGCATCAACCGGACGTCAATTCAGCAAAAAAGCGCAATAACAATTCACATACCATCATATGTGTTGCGGAAGTAAATACTATACCAACGCGCATATGGTTACACATGATCGAAGCAATACCGGAGGTATTAATTTCAATTCTTAAATAATAAATATTATTGTTTTTTAATCTCATCGTACAAAAAAATATATTGTCCGAATTATACATTTTACAGCCGCAAAAAATGGAGAAGCAACGAGCAGGTCTCGACAGATGTAGCATGATAGAAGAGGCTTTGAGAGAAATGATGCGACACACAGTACCAGGCAGTTACATAGTAGCGAATAATCGTGCGTGTTGTTGCAGTTACGAATCTCTGCAGAGCTTAAAACAATACAAAGTTGTTAGTGTAGAACAACTAAAGAAATTCGATTCACCGGATAAACGTAAACTTCTTGACAATCTTGGTAATTATTTTTCTTGTGTAATATATTTTGCAACCCTCTACCTATTCGTACCATTGGTTTTAATCCAGTTATCCGTTCTATTTCATATCTCAAGAGACGATTTGGCAAAGCACCGTTGAAGTCTGCGAGGAAGTTCAAGAAGCTACGCATACTTTAGGTCAACATATCATCGCCAGACATTTATGGAGACAGAAATTTGGTATGCCTCCTTCTACGGCGTTCCAGTATATGTTGAATCATATCGCGGAAAAATATCGTTTCTCTCAAGATTAAGCGTAGAGACTCGAATCTTTTGAGTCTCCATATTGCAACTGTACATATTGTTCTCGTACGTGTAACAAAGAATCTCTCTTTTTTTTTTTAAATTCGATTCTTGAGTGAACGTAAGAGAGCGAGAGATCAAACGTGATGTGTACGCCAGAGTTTCAGGTTGCCTTATTAGAAAAACACCAATTTTCGCAAGGAATACATAAGATTGTAAAACTCGACGACGTACATTACGTGCATCGCAAAGTAGCAATTACAAATGACTATATTATATCAAGTCTTCCAAGTATATTATCGAGATATTGTACTCATGTTATACGAAACTTTTATAAACATATCGACATTAATAGTTGAGGAATTTAAACTGTACAACGCAGAGTTAAAGGAAAATACACTAGCGGGAAATAAAACGACATATTGTCATTATACAATTATTGTGCGTAAACTGCGCCACATAGCGCGATTTCCACTCTTATAAGTTAATATTTGGAGACACAAATTTAGGATTTTGAACAGAGGAATATCTCGACTGTTAGATTTTATCTTCAGAATTGTTGATGCATCATAATCGAGAGAATTGTTCCGCGTATCTTCTTTATCTCTGCGTTACCATCGACAGAAATATCGAAAGACTGAGATTAACGCGCTGACAGAACGTTAAAACTATGAATGTTATTTCAAACACAAAAAAAAATTTAGCAATATTAGGAGATAAATATAAAATTATGACAATATACATTTTTACATAAGGGAGCCGGTACTCTCTAGTGTCATTATGTATAAAATATCTTTGCACGTCCGTACATAGAGCGATCTAAGTGACTGTATTTTTCTCGATGTATGGACTTGCGTCAATTCGCTATATCGTTACAGTGAAGTAATAAAAAATATATTTTGTACGTTTTTCTACATACGCGAAAAATTAAGGAAGAAATTTTTACGACAAATACAAATATATAATGTTGAAAGTGAAAATCGCAACATCACAAAATACACAAGGAGAATACAACTGATGAGTGTGTTTACTTGACTATGTAGACTTTACATATAGTGTAAGTAGCAACTAGAGCGCGAAATACTATTAGGTGGTGTTGCAATTTTCATTTTCAATAGCGATGTTTTTTATATATACATTTCTTGTTTTACTTTTTAAAAGATATTAACTATCTCGTGATTATAAGATATCCTCTCGTACTGTTTCCAGTTTTCTTTAGACGTTTTTAAATATTGAAATACGGGCAAACGTGAATGAGTAGCATTACGTTTCATATGTCACATACATATTGTTTCTGTTAGAGTATTCGTTTATGCAAATATGTTAAATAATAAATGTATTTTGTTTCTATCGTTGGATACAATCGTAGGTGTGCGTGCGCGTGATATGCGTGTGCGTGTACGTGTGTACCCTCATAGCACATTAATATTGCCATAAGGTTAACCCTAAATTATAAGATGGTAACATTACACGGAGATTAATAAACCTGCCATCAACCTTCTAATAACATGAAAATGTTCGTCCATACTTATTCCATTAACATTACAGAAACTTTGTGCGGGATATTATATTAACGATCAACTAATAACAAAATAATTTATATAATATATTTTCAACTAGTCAATTTATATGTTGATTTTAAGGGGATGCTGGACATGAAAACTTTACCGACATAACACTGACTTATTTCTGCAAAGTTTACGTCTTGCTGCTTGCACAGAATTACAAACACTTTTGCACAACAAAAGTACAAAAATAAATTGGAGCATTGCTTAATATGTGACGAAAACGAAAAAAAATATTTCTAATGTTAAATTTTGAGCTATCAGTTAGTGCTAATATTTGTTTAACACATAAATTTCGCAGGTTGCACATACCGAAACTGTGGAAAATTCAAAAAAATTTCAACGATTATTAATATACTTTCAGAATTTAGTTTAGATGCCAATAAAGATACGAAAAGTTTGCAGAAAATTTATAACAATATGCGGTTATTTCGACAAATATGATAGAGTAGAAAATTAGTTAATGGATATTTTTCCAGTGGGCGCTGGAATGAATATATATATATATATATATATATATATATATATATATATATATATATATATA